GACCTCTGGCTGGTGAGTTTGCTAGATCCTTCAAGATTGCGTTGTTGTTACTTGCCCATTTACGAATCTTGAAACCGCCTTTATCCAACATGGCTGTTATCTGATTACGGATTTCCACTATTTCTTCCTCGCTGTTCGCTCCTGTAATGAGGTCGTCCACATAAAAATCTCTGCGCGCTACCTGCGCTCCTTTGGGGAACTGATCTGCTTCTAGATCAGCTAATTGCTGAATAACCTTAGTGGCAACAAATGATGCTGAAGCCGTTCCGTATGTCAAGGTAAGTAATTCGTATGTTTCAATAGTGCCTGCCGGATTATCCCTCCACAATATCCTTTGTAATGAGGTTTGCTTCTCGTCAATAAGAATCTGCCTGTACATCTTCTCTATGTCTCCTGTCAAGACATACTCATGGCTTCGAAAACGTATTAAGATCGATGTACTCTCTTGCTGTATGACAGGTCCTACCATGAGGGAATCATTTAAAGATACACCGCTGGTAGTCTTGCTAGATGCGTCAAACACTACCCTCAGCTTCGTAGTGGTACTGCTGTCCTTGATGACACAATGATGTGGCATGTAGAAATGCGGCAAACTGCTACTGACAGGCTCTTGAAGTTTCCGCGCATGGCCTAATTCCAGATATTCACGCATGAATTGGTTGTATTCAATCCTACGCTGTGGTTCCCGCGCAAGCCGTCTCTCCAAGCCGCGCAGCCGTTGCGTTGCTATCTCCTTGGAATCCCCTAAACGTTGGAGCACGTCCATTTTAATTGGTAACGTTATGACAAATCTACCGTTCAGATTCCTTGTGTATGTTTCCATGAATTGAATCTCGCAAGCACGCTCTTCCGAAGTTCTCGTGTTGATCCTGTTGCAGCTTTCGAGTTGCCAAAACCTTGTAAGGCTAGCATTTAACTGATCATTTATGGCTAGGTTGCAAACAGTAACCTTTGGGTGTCGTCCTGCAGTAGTGAGCTCCCCAGAGACGATCCATCCAAGCAGTGTCTTTTGCCAACTTGGTTGATTATCCGCTAACTTTAGCCTGCCGATACATAGCAAGTCGAAGAATATT